GTAAGTATGTGTGTGTCTTTATGTATCTAAGTTGTAAGTATATGGGTCTATATATGTGGGTGTATGTGTGATTGTATATGAGTGTATGTGTGATTATGGGTGTGTGTGTATTATGTATGCAAGTATGTATGTATGTATGTATGTACGTATGTATGTATGTACGTACGTACGTACGTACGTATGTATGTATGTATGTATGTATGTATGTATGTATGTATGTATGTATGTATGTATGTATGTATGTATGTATGTATGTATGTATGTATGTATGTATGTATGTATGTATGTATGTATGTATGTATGTATGTATGTATGTATGTATGTATGTCTGTCTGTCTGTCTGTCTGTCTGTCTGTCTGTCTGTCTGTCTGTCTGTCTGTCTGTCTGTCTGTCTGTCTGTCTGTCTGTCTGTCTGTCTGTCTGTCTGTCTGTCTGTCTGTCTGTCTGTCTGTCTGTCTGTCTGTCTGTCTGTCTGTCTGTCTGTCTGTCTGTCTGTCTGTCTGTCTGTCTGTCTGTCTGTCTGTCTGTCTGTCTGTCTGTCTGTCTGTCTGTCTGTCTGTCTGTCTGTCTGTCTGTCTGTCTGTCTGTCTGTCTGTATGTATGTATGTATGTATGTATGTATGTATGTATGTATGTATGTATGTATGTATGTATGTATGTATGTATGTATGTATGTATGTATGTATGTATGTATGTATGTATGTATGTATGTATGTATGTATGTATGTATGTATGTATGTATGTATGTATGTATGTATGTATGTATGTATGTATGTATGTATGTATGTATGTATGTATGTATGTATGTATGTATGTATGTATGTATGTATGTATGTATGTATGTATGTATGTATGTATGTATGTATGTATGTATGTATGTATGTATGTGTGTGTATGTATGTATGTATGTATGTGTGTGTGTGTGTATGTATGTGTGTGTGTGTGTGTTTGTGTGTGTGTGTATGTATGTATGTATGTATGTATGTATGTATGTATGTATGTATGTATGTATGTATGTATGTATGTATGTATGTATGTATGTATGTATGTATGTATGTCTGTATGTATGTATGTATGTATGTATGTATGTATGTATGTATGTATGTATGTATGTATGTATGTATGTATGTATGTATGTATGTATGTATGTATGTATGTATGTATGTATGTATGTATGTATGTATGTATGTATGTATGTATGTATGTATGTATGTATGTATGTATGTATGTATGTATGTATGTATGTATGTATGTATTTATGTATGTATGTATGCATGTGGGTGTCTGTATGTGTGATTGTATATGTGTGTATGCATGCATGTGAGTGTGTGTATGTTTTTTGTGTGTAAGCATGTGAGTCTATGTATGGATGTGTGTATGAATGCATGTATGTGTGTGTGCATGTATGTCTATGTACGTAGGTGTGTCTGTTTTATGTTTGTGTATGTATGTGTGTATGTGTGTTGATGTATGTATGGATGTATGTTTGTATTATGTATGCATGCAGGTGTAGCCTATGTATGTATGTATACATGTGGTGGTATGTATGTGTGCGTATATGTATGTAGATTCGTGTATGTATGTATTACATATGATTGTGTATGTGTATATATGAGAATGTATGTATGTATGTAAATTAGCTGTGTAAGTATGTGGGTGTATGTGTGTGTGTGTATTTATGCATGCATGTGGATGTATGTAGATGTATGTAGATATATGTAGCTGTGTAAGTATGTGGGTATGAATTATGGATGTGCATGTATGTATAAAAGTGTCTATGTGTGTGTACGTATGAAAGTATGTATGTACGTACTATCTAGGTGGTGTGTGTGATTGTGGGGGTGTGTGTGAATATATGTGGATATTTGTATGCATACTCAGGTTTGTAAGTGTATGTATTTATGTGTGTATGTTGAAAGTATGTGGTTGTATGCGTGATTGTGGGTGTGGATGTATATAATGTATGCAAGTGTGTATGTATGTAGGTATGCATGTGTGTATGTATGTATGTGTGATTTTATATGTGTGTATGTATGCATGTGTGTGTGTAATGTATGTGGGTGTATGTATGCATGCATGCATGTATGAATGTATCTATGTGTGTATGTATGCATGTTGGTGGATGTATCTATGCATATGTATCCGTGTTTGTAAGTGTGTGCAAGTATGCAAGTATGCAAGTATGCGTGTATGTGTGTAAAGATGTGAGTGTATGTATAGATGTGTGTATGTATGTATGCATGTATGTGTGTGCATGTATGTATGTTTGTGAGTGTATATGTGTGATTGTGGGCGTATGTGGTTGTCTGTATATGTTTTTGTATGTGTGTGTATGCATGCATGCATGTGTAGGTGTGTATGTATGGAATGTGTGTGTGCATGTATGTCTATGTATGTATGTATGTATGTATGTATGTATGTATGTATGTATGTATGTATGTATGTATGTATGTATGTATGTATGTATGTATGTATGTATGTATGTATGTATGTATGTATGTATGTATGTATGTATGTATGTATGTATGTATGTATGTATGTATGTATGTATGTATGTATGTATGTATGTATGTATGTATGTATGTATGTATGTATGTATGTATGTATGTATGTATGTATGTATGTATGTATGTATGTATGTATGTATGTATGTATGTATGTATGTATGTATGTATGTATGTATGTATGTATGTATGTATGTATGTATGTATGTATGTATGTATGTATGTATGTATGTATGTATGTATGTATGTATGTATGTATGTATGTATGTATGTATGTATGTATGTATGTATGTATGTATGTATGTATGTATGTATGTATGTATGTATGCGTGTGTGTTTTATGTTTGTGTATGTGTGTAGATGCGTGTATGTATGTATTACGTATGTCTGTATGTGAGTGTGCATGTATAAGAATGTCTCCTGCTTTTCTTTTTCTTGACGGCCGGTTGCGTCTTCTCGACTGTTCCAAACTCGCGGGAACAGGGCTTGTATATTTTATTACCAAACCCTGTAAGCTTATCACCTAGCGACTTTTTCTTTAAATCATGATTTAATTTCTGACACAGTGTACCCTTCAGCTCGCACCACGACACCTTGTCGCTAGCAGGTGGAAACTTTGAACTTTAAACGCACTTCTTCAGAAATCATCAAAGTAGCGCCTCCGTAGTCGACGTTATGGGCCTCTCTGTGCCCGTCGTTCCCTGAGGACTTATTACCTACCACGGGAGTAGTAGTTATGCGACGACGTTTACTGCGTGGCGCACTCTCGCATTTCATCCTTCCGGCATGAGTTCTCAGACCATGCAACCCCTTGAAGCTCTTTTCACATGTACATTGCCAACCCGGACGATGGGCAATAATCTCAGTCTGGGGGCTAGCAATGTCGTAATCGTTAGTATCTAATTGATTGGGTCCATAATTATCCCCTTCTTTCGGTGGACCCTGTAGGCATATTTCTTTTTACGTTTTCGAAATCGGAGATATTATACTGTGTTAGGGGTGATCGGCCCGGTCCACAGTCGACAATTGTCTCCAGAAGTCAGTTTTCCCTCCTGGTGATACCGGGATGCCAGTCTTTTCATAGGTGTCAAAAGGTCTTTCCCGATAGTCATCAGTACTATCCTGGTTAAAATTGTGGGATAGCCGCGTACAATAAGAGGAAACTCCACAGGGGAGCATGTACAGCAGTAGTCTATCAATCATCAGTAGAAGTAATCTCTCGTCGACAAATGTTTCGGCCCACTAGCTCCTAGTCATTTTCAGAGAGTGGGCCCACCTGAGTTCATGAAGCTCACGGATGATCTGCTCCTGCTGCACGTATTACTAGATGTTCTAGGACAGGGCACGACGAAATTGGTGACTGTGCAGCAGGTATTGAGAGATTCGAAGTCTATTTACAAAGTCGCTGCGGTAGCATCATTAGAGCAGTCAGCATACCTGGACGACCAAGTGGCAAGCTTACTGTCAGCTTATCGGACACATGTTAGACTTTGTCACACAACGTAGAGTATGGAATCACAGTTACTGGATTTTATGGTGCTAGGTTTTCTTAGTTAATGGTATTCGCGTTTTATGTGGGAGACAATTAAATAGTAAAGCACTGAGTCATAAAATAGACAAATTGTATTTAACAATTGCAGATAGGAAAAAGACGTTGGGTGTTCATGAGAGAAGGTGGTTTGTTGAACTCAAGTGACTAGTGAAGGACGAGAGAGAGAGAGAGAGAGAGAGAGAGAGAGAGAGAGAGAGAGAGAGAGAAAGCGAGAGAGAGACAGACAGAGAGAGAGAGAGAGAGAGAGAGAGAGAGAAAGAGGAAACAGTTATGAATATACAAACAATAAAGGACACGAATATAGAATAATAAGATGGCTAATATGAATAGTAAAGGATATATTATTATATTACCATATCGATCAGACCTATAACATTGAACAATATTACAGCTAGATAGCGCTGGTAAAGAAGTAAAGAAGACACAGAGACACTGGCGATCGTCCGCGCGCGCACACATGCACACGCACACACACTCCTTAATGAGAATCAAATAATACAATAAATCTACAATAGATAATGAATGCGGCTGTGGCTTAGGCGTTGCGAACGAGCTTTGTAATGCCGGGGTGCCGAGGTTCGATCCCTGCTGCGGGCCTTGCGCCTTGCGTTGGTTTCAACAGTGGTTTTGAGAAGCCGACCGTCTACAGAAAACAATGGCAAACTACTGGACGTAAATTTGCCACACACAAAAACCACAACAGCAACAACAACAAAATTACTGGGGTTGGTTCTGCAACGTCCTGTAAAGGTTACGTAACTAACTTTAAACATGAATAATGCAATTAATAAAAATATGCAACGAGTCCTTCGTTAAGAGCACACTGCCCTACAACCAAAGATTGTGAGACTGTGTAAGGTTCGTTAAGAGCACACTGCCCTAAAACCAAAGACTGTCAGATTGTTGAAGGCGTCGTAATCAAATCAATTATTTATGACTTACAGTGCTGCTGAGTACACCGACGGATTAATGCCAGCCAACGCCATGGTGGAGCCAACCGGCAACGTCTTCTGGCCGGTACCGACCAAGCTTCAGAGTTCCTGCAAGGTGGACGTCACCTACTTTCCCTTTGACAGTCAGGTGTGTTCTCTGAAGTTCGGATCCTGGACCTATGATGGATTTCAAGTGGACATTACCAACAGAACCTCTGAGGTACGAAGTTGTAACTTTAGTGAGCATTGATCACATTTGTGGATTTCTTGTGTTTTGTACACATTTGTGGGTACTTTAAATAGTAGTTCTCAAGTGGTGTCCTCTAAATCCTGACTGACTGCCTGGCTTTTAACCCCACTAGAATTGAACACTAACGAGCGATTAACACCTGGTGATTCCATTTGGATGCGCATTTACCCAGGCGCAACTCCCAGAAACCGCGTTTGAACAGTAAGGTTACATTTGGACCTCCGACGACGCTTACGAAGTAATCTGAAGTCCAGTCGGGGTGGGGCTTCGATATTTAAAAAAAATAAATGTTGTCCTATTTCGGGACATCATTCTGGGGTCAGGGGAACAAACTTAAGGAACAGAACTAAAACTACCTTTTTTGTTGTTGCTGTAATTCTTATATGTTTCTCTTTTTTTTTTTTTTTTTTCAGTATGACTTAAAATTTATAGAATCTGTGGCATGCTTCGAAAATAAAATGGAGTTCGTAGATCTTATCTAACTGGGAACTACTTTTTTTTTTAGAGCTTTAATTGTTTAACCCCTTTACATTGCCCATGAAAGTTTGTTTCTGATCTGTCATATTTTGTATATGACTGTTCAACCAGATGATTTTTATAACCAGTGTTCCCCTTGTGGGATGCAATTTTTCGTTATTTGAAGCCCCACTCTGGCTCTTGTCAGGGACCGCAAAACAGCCCGGCCATAAATATGGTCAAATGGGTGAACGCGATATCTGGGACCTCTCCACGGAGATCCTCATCCACAAAGTGGCACTTTGTGTCCTCGGGTGTTTATCGCTTGTGTGATGTCCTGATGGGGTAAAATGTAATGCTACTCCTACAGATGATTTAAAAAGAGTGAGGAGATCAGAGGAATATCTGGACAAATTCCTGAATTGACTTCAGTAAGACAAAGAATGTGAAGATTTACTGGGCACATTCTGAGACGAAATAAGCATAGAATTACAAAATACGCACTGAAATAGGAAACAAATGGTCTGAGAAAAAGAGGTCGTGCAATGAAAACATTAAAAAGAACATTATTACCAGTTGCTAAAACTGCTCAGCTGAACATCACGTTAGAAACTGAGAGAGCTGCATGCAATAGAGAGGAGTGGACGAATCGAAAGAGAGCCCTGTGTAACATAAAAGGGCACACAAAGGATGATGATGTTGTTTAAATATACAATGTCCCTGCTAGGTCAGTTACCTTATATTTGTCCACTGAAAGGGACGAGAAGGCGGCGCAGGGTGCAAGAAGGCAGAATATAGACAGTCTAGCATCTAACTATTGTTGAATGGCACTTTTGAATCAGAAATGACATGATTGACAATGTACGAGACAGAACAATGTTGACATACATGGCGATGACAATTCTCTGTTCTGTGATGAATGTGATCGCAAGGTATAAGGTAATGATGTTTTTTCATCTACAACTCCAGCATAAGTTATAACTGCAAAGACAGTTTCAGCTAGTGATGGCAACGAGGAAGGAAGGAAAGAAGAAATGAAGAAATATAAGAAAATAATGACGATGGCAATAATGATGATGATGAAAGAAGGGATACGAATAGGACGAGATGCAGGAGGGGAGAAGGGGTGGAAAAAACGCTTCACCAGTCCATAATCATAGAAAGCAAGACAGACAATGACAAACGACTGGAAGAGAGAGAGAAATAAGTTGGAAAAAAAAAGCAAAGGCATCTGGGGGAATCCTCTAAATTTGAACATAAGACGCAGGCGATAAACACGTGATGTTTTAATCACTGACACTTTCAACATCAGGTGCGTCTTAACTCATAGATCACTAAGCAACTCACAATGCGTTTGTTGGCTTATATTAATTTACATTATACATCTTTCTCTACTGCTTATTTCACATTTAGTTGTACACTAATCCACACTGCTCTAATGTTATTTTAACTCTGTTCTTTTCAAGTTGTATTTTTAACTCATTCTGAACCAAACATTTATTAGAAAGTTGCAAGCCCTTTAAAAGTTGTTGGATAACCGACCCCAGCTTTGGAGAGGGGGGGGGGGGGGGGAGAGTTGTGATTTCACTAGACAATTTAACATTAACTAGTTTGTTAATGCCCACCTATACCACGACGGAAACCAACACAAGGCGGCTTGCGGCCACATCGAATCCTGCTCCACGGACTTGTGCGTTCGCAAAGCCTAAGCAAGATGAATGGAGGCGGGTGATATCTGCAGCAGTGAACCTCAAGGGCTCGAAATACTGAAGAGGAAGAAAGCTTAAGCCACAGACGCCAACAATATTTGTTATTTAAAGTAACACGTTAATGGCATAGAATAAATTAAAGGACATCTGCCTGGCACCGAAAGTGATGAAGTGAAATGTCGGAGACACTAGTGAACCTTTCTTATTGGGGTACCGGGGTCCCATTGTGGGGGAAAACAAGAATAGACCCACTGCTTCCCTAACAATCATGTCGTAAGAGTCGACAAACTGAAGGTTCTCTTCGAAGCTGAAGTGCATCTGCCTGAGAGGCAAGCAACGAATAGACTGCATACAAATAAGACAGGTATGTAAAACGGAAAGGCTAACAACACGTAGATTCTGGAACAAGTCCTAAGTCCAGAGATGGGTGTACAACTAGAACTTTAGCCGGCTATTATAGCCGGTGAACGCAAAGAAGAAGAAGACCATTGGACCAATAATTCTTGCAATGCTTGATGTCTACTCGGAGACTCTGTGTTTGTTCGCCTCTGTACAAACGAACGATTTCTCCAGTGGGTGGCTGTCTGCTGACTTTTCCTTTCACAACGGCCAGCACAGTGGCCCCTAGTCAAACAACTCATTGAGTGGAAACTCTATTTTACATCGATCGATCAGACTGTCCTCTGTGGGCTGCTAAATAAAGGTGTACCACACCAACCTAAGATTTAAAAAAAAGATACCCCACTCAACCTCCAAAGAATGTATAATTAGGGCCCCGGAAACAGCTACACCAACCCCGTGTTACCTGCAGGCTTAACAAGCTAAAATAAAAAAAAACTTTTTCCCTGCGTTCTGGCATTTTGAGCATACAGGACTGGACCTATATGTTCAGTTGTAGTCAGAGTATATTACAGAGTACATTACAGAGTATATTACAGAGTATATTACAGAGTATATTACAGAGTATATTACAGAGTATATTAGAGAGTATATTACAGAGTATAGGCTTTTTCCATGGCTACTTCAAAAGTGTGTTTTCTCTTTTGTCGGGACTTTTTATTTACCAGTTGAACTTATGCTGTAAAACCATTTAAGGATTAGGGAATTAATATTTCATGTTTATGACCACAGGTGGATTTGAGCAACTATATCGTGAACGGAGAGTGGGAGCTGATATACGTTAGATGTGTTCGCAATGTGGTCAGATACGCTTGCTGTGTCGAGCCATTCCCAGACGTCACATTTTACATTAAAGTATGTACTTGTGGCTCCTTGGTGATAATAATGATACTAAGCGACCTCATCGTCATCATCATTATAACCATCATCATCATAATATCGCCATCATTATTATTATGCTGTACTATGTATCTGGCACATAGGGTTAGCAATCTACGCCTCAATTATATCTTTAGCAGTCTATTCGACATTATTGATGGAATCCAGTCCAGTGAATTTGGTCTCTCTCATCATTGTTCGTCTTAGAGTTTCCTTTTGATTTTCCTGTGTCCTCTTTGACAATCTTATTTCCTCAGTCGATTTATTTCCTATTTAATCTCTGTTTAATTATTAAGAGTCTGCTTTTTTTTTTCAAGATGTGCCCAATATATCGCCATCTCCTCTGCCTTCTAACTATTGATACTAGCATTTGTCCAAACATTTCTATGATAATTTGTATGAAACTTTTTTGCCTCCTGTTTAGTTAATCTAATAAAATGGATAGATACTGCTCTGAGGGTACCATTCTTTACACCTTAAAGATGTTACCTGAATCTGTTCACTAGACATAGCCCTGTTTCAAAAGCATATTTTACACCGCATCTTTTGCTGAAGATGGCATACATCCCACTGTAGCTGACGCAAGAGAAGAAAGTGTGAAGTTTTAAGGGTTTGAACAACGGACCAACATCATGGCACACTGGTAGTAACCCATAAGTGCTTTGTTATTCTTTATCTATAGTCTGATGTCAAAAATCTCAGCACAGTGCACAGGCTCTGTAGCACCGGCAAGACTCCTGCAATACTTTGGGTAGACGTCTAGGTCCAAATTTTGCCAGGACAGCGCCGTTAGGCTACTCTTTTCTCTAGAGAATCATTCGCTTTTGTAGAAAGTCCGAGTAGTAATAACATGCGGAAACTAAATAGCGTGACAGACCTTTGGTACAGCTCCTGCAGCCGAGTTGAAGTATAGTGTTTTAGATGGTGCATCTTTCTCGTGATAACTTATGGATGTGGGTCATGGGCTCTTACTCAATGAATTTTTTTCAGAAGAAGAAAACAATGTTACAGAAAGATTCGTAAACCACAGCCTGCCCCGAAAGTTGAAGTATTGTGGCCATGTTAAACTTCATGTTGCCAGGATAGAACGGTGGTGCATGATCCAGTTTCCGGAAACCGAGGGTGGGACAGACCTTCACCAGTGTGGATACAAGACGTTGAAGATGCCTTGGCTATGACAGCACACAGGGCGGGTTGTCTAGAGAAATAGAGACTTTCAAGCGTGCCGTGACGAGAGCGACATTCTGTATAAGCACTGCTGATTGATGATAATGATGATGTGTCATAAAAGCAACACACCCAATAATTAGCCGTAGCACTGCAATCTTACCACAGCACCAGAAGAAAAGAAATTAAATAAACAATACAGTCAGATTAATACCAACAACAAGAAAATCCGCAAACAAATGAATTGGTGTTTCATGGCTAGCATTGACAATACTCCCTGTCTCATGGGATATGCTCTTTAGTTCTTTCGTATTACACCTATTGCCGCAAACCTGAGATCGTTAACGTCCGGCATTGTATCGTGGCTAATCAGGAGTATGCTGCATGCTAACACAGCATAAAATTACCGTCCGATCGATGGACAAATGTTTGACCACACAAATACCAGCAGGAGCAGGCCATTTTGTTTGGATTGTTTCATTCAGGATGGTTTGTTGTCTGTGCATGGAAGCCAGATGTAGCACTTGAAAGAAATTGTTAATATACCACTTTACGCTCTCTGACAGCATGAAAATAGTAGATAGTGAAGGAAACTCATAGAAAGACATTTTTTTGACACAAGCAGCTTTTGAAGTAAAAAAAACAAAAAAAAACTTTAAATTACATTGTTTTAAAACCAGTTTTTCAATTTTCAATAATAACGGTTTTTTGTTTGTTTTTTGTTTTGTTTTTGTTTAACAAATGTCAGTGAAAGTTGAAGAAGCACCAAAAGCATAGAACAAAATTTAAACGTTTCCGAACATAAAAACCTGAGGGAAAAAACTACGAACACAAAATCAAATCATCTGATTGTGCTATTGGGTAAAGGAAAAAAATAACCGGATAAGCAGATTGCATAGATACAGTAAAATAAAAAAAATAGAGTCAATTTAACAACAACCCAAAAAACACACAAAAAACTTATAAAAGAAAAGGCTCTAAAATGGAACTGGTTAATGGTAAAAAATAACACAAAGCGCTTGGTAATAACAAGAGAGGGACAGGACAAAATACTTTGGCCACACAAGGATAATAAAATCATAAGTAGGGAAATGCATAATTACTTGCATAAACAACTGCAACTGCTCCAACTTACTAAGAGAAGAAATACAATATATATAAAAAAAAACTAGAAATATTGTAAGACAAACACACGCACGCACATACACTTCAGTGTTTTATTGAGTGTACATGTATAACTGCTAATTATTGCCTTTATTGACCACTTTTGCGGGTGTAGGCAGGGAGGTCTTTGAGCCCGAGGATTTAAGGAGGCATGGCTAGTACTGTCACCACGACTGACTGACTGACTTTCACCCCACGACATTGATGCAGATGACACAAAGTGATTGGATGAGGATCGCCGTTTGAAACCGCCGACAATTGGCCATATGTAAAATATGCGGCCCCTGGCAAAAGCCAGGGTGGGGCTTCAAATAACAAAAAAAATTGTCCTAATAGGGACGAAACATGTACTACGCTGTCACCACGATTGTGCAGGTGAGGATTCTACCGCACGAGATCCCCAGCGTTACTGAGAATTTAACCGTTCACCGCATGAGAGCCCAGCCGCTCCTTGTGTACATGTATACGTGTGTGTATTTGTTTGGGTGTGTGTGGGTGTGTGCATCTGAGACACAATTAGCTTCATGACGTAATGAGAAGACACAACATGTACCGCCAAACACAGCACACGCGACGTTGAAATGTTTATGAGAAGATTTTCTGTATACACAGATCCGACGGCGTACACTGTATTACATGTACAACGTCGTATTCCCCTGTGTCATGATGTCAGCTTTGACGTTGCTGGTTTTCTGTCTACCTCCGGATTCCGGCGAGAAGATCGCCCTGGGGATCACCGTCCTCTTGGCTTTTTCTGTCTTCATGTTGGCTGTGGCGGAAAATCTTCCTGAGACATCTGAGTTTGTGCCCCTGATCAGTAAGTTTTTGTGTGTGATGATTTGGGATGTAGCTATCGATCGTGTCTTGTTTTTATCATAATTATCATCATCATCACTATCATCATCTTCAACATCATCATGATCACCATCCTCCTCCTCCTTGTCCTTACCATATAGAATGTAGGTTATTCCTGGCTGGCGTAACTGCTACGTGTACTCTAATGATTACTACTTTAGAGGTTGAACGGTGTATCTGGGATCAAACTTGTTGGTGGTCTGCTGTCCAGACTAAGCTTTTTTTTTAAATCTCAGGATTGTGTGTCAAACCTTTAGGTAGCAGTCCGAAGGCAGATCAATCAATCAATCATCATCATCATCATCATCATCAGTTTCCACTTTTGCCATTAATCGTCGTGGGAAAGAAGAGTTTGCAATCCACGGTTTTATGTTTATCACCGGATGTCGTCACTTCTTGTCAAGGTTTGTATCTACTGAGGATAAACTGAGAAATACAATATAATTTGTTTTGGTATTTTAGTTTGGGCTGAATCTAAATATGATGGCGCTTTGACTATTGCAGACACAATATTAGTGTTTGAAATTATGTAATGCCTATAGATACATAAGTCGGCATCAGTGGCTTACGTAATTGCGAAAGCAGTTCGTAACTAAGAGATGCCGGGTTCGATCCCAGTAGCGTGGTATCGAGCCCCAACTGTTTAGTAAACAATGGAAAACTACTGGACGTAATAATTGCCTAGTCATATCATAAACAGCCAAAAATACTGGGGTCGATTCCGCAACACATGTAGTTTGAAGTTTAAGTTTGAACAACGGATCAACATCATGGTGCAAGGGTAGTAACCCAAAGGTGCTCTGTTCTTCTTCTAACTGAAGTATGAGTCCGAAGAAGCTCAGCACAGTGCACAAGCTCTGTAGAACCGGCGAGGATCCTGAAATTCCTTGGTCAATTTTTAACTCTAAATTTTGCCGACGCAGCGCCGTTAGGCTACTCTTTTCGATTTCCAACTACCAAGGGATTTTTTTTTTCGTGCACACCAATGCACATGGGCGTCCGATCTCACTACCTGGAGACCAGAGGAGAATTACTAGAAGTCATCCCCGTGTGGGTTCAGGGACCCTATTATATGGAAAACAAGAATAAACCCACTGCCTACCCAAAAGCACATCGTAACGGTCGAATAATTGGGAGCTTCCTTCAAAGTCAAAGTGCATCTGCCTGAGAGGCAAGGAACCAGCAATCTGCACACACATGAATCAGATTTGTAAAATGGATCCACACGCAACACTCAGGTTCTGAACAGGACTGCAGTCCCGAAGTGGTTGAATAATCAGAACTTTCCGCCAAAGTTTACAGCTGGTAAACAAAAAACAAAACAAAAATGAAAAGAACTAGAAGTCCAAGTCCGAGCGAAAAAATCCCAGCCCTTACCGAGGATTGAACCCGGAACCTTTAACACTCGATGCGGACACCATGAATCGAGACCCATCGCGGTCGACACAGTGTTTCCCAGACGAATCTGCCTATCTTACTTTTCGCCACTTTTTTTTTTCCTCTGTGTATGAGTGTCTTTCTAGAATATGGTGTTGTGATTAGGTCTCAAGGGCTACTGTATGCTAGGAGGAAGTACTGCAGGGAGAAGCGTCGAAGGCGCAAAGATTTAAGAGTATCGAATCACTTATATTTTTGGAGGTATTTTTAAGCTCCTTGGCGGTGGCTGTCGTCGTCGTGGATGTATTTGAAACGTTCAAAACAAGTAATAGAAGAAAACAAGTGGCAACTAGTACGAAATAACGCAGCTGAACGAGATGGGGTTAGACTCTTGAATTGTACCGACATTTGAAATGGTGTTCCACCTGCTGATGATTCATATAATTGGTGATCCATTTACTGTGATTCACATACTTAAATTAATTTAATGAGTGCTTGTGTACTGCTGATCCATGAACTGGTGATCCAACAACTGGGGTATCATATTCTACTCATTCACTTACTGATAATCCATACAGTTGCGATCCCTCCACTGGTGTTCCACTTCCTGGTATTCTAATGCTTGCTATTCGCGTACTGGTGTTTCCTTTACCTGCAAGTATTTCTGTACAGACACGTTCCCATTAAAAAAAAAAAGTCAGCGTGTTCCTTGAATACTTTATCAAAGATTCCCCAAATTATTTCCAATGGGAATTTTGTAAAAGCAATCTTAAATGAAGTAGCGAAACTGCAACGAAGTACTACACATCATTACTTGACATTACTTCAATGATTTCCCAACAGGTTCAGAAATCCAATTCCCATTACCGCATCCAGCACAGCCACCAACACTGTTAGTGCTGTAGATATTAACTACTAGTACTACGACTGCTGCTGCTGCTGTTACTTCTAATACGAATACTGTTACTAGCACTGCTGCTGGCGGTACTCCTGCTGGTGTTACTCCTGTTGCTGTTCCTCATCCTACTATTACCACTACAGTTATTACTACTACTTCTACTGCTACTACTGCTGATGCTGCTACTACATTTCCAATTGCCTATACTAATTCTATTACAGTGAACAGCCTACCAGGGCTGTAACGGATAACTGAATAGACGGATAACATAAATATCCCAACACATATGTACAGCAACGTAATTTCTTTGCAGGCTAGGGATGAAAATGAAAACAAAATCTTTTGAAATTAAATTATATATATATATATACTGTGTTTAATTTTACAAAGTGATGAATATACTCCAATAGAACAGTAGCGATGTACAGAAAAGTATTGAAATACTATAAACCTACGTTGCATTAAAATAATTTGTTATCCCCTTCTGTGTCTTTAAGGCTGGAGCTGTCTGCGTGGCGATGTTTCCTATCTTACGCAACTGTAACAATTGCTAACCATTTCCTTATAGGATACAATTTTTAGTTCTTTTGAAGCCTACACTGGCTCTTGCCAGGGACCGCAATATAGCCCGGCTATAAATATGGCCTAATGGCTGAACTCGGTTAAACGTTTTAATCCAGTTTCGTCCTTTCGAGGATGAAATTTTTTATTATTTGAAGCCCCACCCTGGCTTTTGCCAGGGGCCGCAATATAGGCAGGCCATAAATATGGCCAGTTGTCTGAAAGCAGGTTTCTGGGACCTCTTCACGGCAATCCTCATCCATATGGTGGCACTTTGTGTTATCGGGTGTTTATCGCTTGTGTGATGTCCTAGAGGGGTAGAAAGTCAGTCAGTGAACGCGGTTTCCGGGCTCTCTCCACGGGTGATCCTCATCCACATGGTGGCATCGGGTGTTTATCGCTTGTGTGATGTCTTAGTGGAGTAAAATGTACTACTACCAATAATAATCATATCTATCGCAGAAGTAGGATGTTTATTACATTTGCCTGCCTTAGCATTTCAAACCAGTCGATGCACTTTGATAACTTTGCTTCTGTTTCTGAGGGCTAGTTGTAGGTTCTTGTTTTAGAACTGATCAGTTTTTTTTTATTTAGTCATCCCCTTGTGGGATAAATTTTTTCGTTATTTGAAGCCCTATTCTGGCTCTTGCCAGGGGCCGCAATATAGCCCGGCCATAAATATGGCCCAATGGCTGAACGCGGTTTCTGGGACCTCTCTCCTCTACATAGTGGCATTTTGTGTCCTTTGGTGGTTATAGCTTGTGTTGTGGCCTGGTGGGGTAAAAGAAGATAGAAAAAATAGATGTTAATTTTTAAACAATGGTGGATAACATACACTGACGATTAAACGAGCGACTGTTAATCAAATTTTACCATGCTACACAAATGTGTAAATTTTCACATATCTCTGGGATTACAGTCTTGGCAGGCAACAACACTAACAAGAGTTATCTTAACACATATACACATACAGAGAGAGAGAGAGAGAGAGAGAGAGAGAGAGAGAGAGAGAGAGAGAGAGAGAGAGAGAGAGAGAGAGAGAGAGAGAGAGAGAGAGAAATTTGATGGAGATAATTCATAGCAAAAACATTGAAAGAGTAAATACCTCTATAGAGTTCTTTCTGTAAAACAGTTGTTACTGCTATTATCATTTTTATTTTCAGAATTCCCATCCGGTCATGAAAAAAAAGTAATTATTTGTGTATTGGGTGGCTGCTGTCTACTACTTCCCAGGCCAGTACTCAAATTATTCCCCACTTGACGTTTGATTTGCCATTAAACAAGAAACCACTAGCACACGCTGAGTTCATGACCAACTGGTTTCGTGACTGAATTGACTTCATTATCCAAAGGGATGGTTTATTTACATTCATCATAGCGCAGACAAGAATGTCGCTGTAGTTGATTCCAGCTCTATTAATGTGTGGGTTCTAGTGCCACATTTGGGGTTGGGGTGGGGGAAGGAATAGATCCACTCTTCCCCAGTGCCCCAATATGCATTTTGTTAAAGTCGACTAATTAGGAGCATTTCCTTGGAAGTAGCAGTGCATCTGACTGAGAGGCGAGGAACCAACAGTCTGCTTACAATAAAAAGAATCTGTAAAAAGAATCTGCACGCAAAAGTAAAGTTCTAGAACAAGCTGAAAGTCCACAAATGGACAAGCAATCAGAACCTTTGTAAATAATAAATAAAAATGAAAATGTTCGTTTGCTCAAGATTGTTAATCTCCAAAAGTTCTTCACCGATAAATATATATATATAAAGCGCGTATTAGAATGCAATGTCGTGTCAAAATTGCAAGCAATCGGTGAAGAACTATATAAAAGTGTGCCGCACAAAGTACGAACTACATAGCTCCAACGACGATCCATCGGAATCTTTGTTTTGTTTTAGACGATCCGGTTTTTTTTCGTTGCTGCTTTCCCGATGCGGGTTTTTATTTCCGCTGGCAGGCGAACTTTGACTGCTCACCTCCTAATTCTGCATGGTGCTGTATGAGATTATGATTTATTTCGTTATGAGGACGAGGAGTCGTTGAAAGAATGTATGGACATGTAAAGATGTTGGCAGAAAAACAAGTTGAAATTAATAGTTGTAGGAATAAAATAAGAGTTGTTGAATGCAA